CTTGCGCTGGTAGTCTATGGCTAGACTTGACGACGATACGACTGTCGCCAACTCCCGGAGTAGATATGGTTTTTGTTGCCAGAAGTCGAGTAACATCACTCGCACTACCGAGCTATAACTGAGAGGCCAGATTCGTTGTGGTATCGGAGCTCTGGCTCGAGTCTGCCCCTGCATGAAGGGGTTCTGCAATGATTCAGTCCATCTCTTATCATAAGCCTTCGCACGCCGTTGATATTCTCGTGATAGTTGCGAATTGATATACCCTATTCCTTGAGATATGGCCCCACTCGACAAGAGGTAAGTCCTCAATAGCTCGATGAGGCTCAAGTCCAAGCCACGGCTTCTAGTCGCGATGAAAGGGAGCTCCGCCTGAATTTCGAGCGGGCAGGTTTCCAAATATGCAGGTTCCCATGCGTGCCAGCTCCGCTGACAGCGGCAGCACTCGAATCGCACCGTTACGGCAAGATAAGGCCAGGGTAATCGTATGATTAGTTTCGGTTTGGATAGTCTGCCTGGACGTATTGTATCGCATGTTTCGCAGAATGGGCATCGCCCCCCTCTGGGTGCCCATAAGTATAAATCATGCCCGAAAATGCTTCCCACGCGGGGAAAAACCTCCTTCGATATCACGCTTTTCCAGTCCGTCGCCACAATCCATTGTGACACATGCACATCCCCTCCACCTACTTGAGCCAAGGTCCTCGGCACTTCTATACTGCCATCCTCTGCGAGCCGTACGGTAGCTTTTTGGTTCGAGCTTTGGGTTTGGGTGGATCTCGAGACAACCGGGCTCGGCTGTTCTAGAACTTCGTTCCTCATAGCCTGGTTCTCCCCAGGACTGGATTCAACCGTTCCTATAGTCTGCTCAGTTGTGACACCCGTTGACGGTATAGCATGAGTACCTGACAGAGTGTCGTAGCTACACCGAAGATCATTTACTGGGCTCAGTGATCCTCACTGGCTGCCTACCTTCGGATATCTGGCTTTGCGGCCCTGTTGATCGTGTGAGTTTAAAAAAGTTGCGTGACTTCTCCTTATTTGCTATCGCGAGCTTGGCCTCAATCGCAGCCTTGGCTTTCGCGATAGGCACAGGTAACTTCCCACTTCGTCCCAGCTTGGGCCAGGATCCGGTGCGCTCGAGAGTTGCAAGTGCCTCTCGGTATATGGGGTCTTCTAATGGCCTAACGACCTTGCGATGTGTTTTCTTCGTAGCAGTGGACATTCAAGGATGAAAGAGCACTGATCAGTTACTTCGTCCCTTAATCGAGATTCTAGATTAGAGAGATAAGGTCCTTGGTTGGAATTTAAGGTCCGCGGTTACTGAACTTCCAAGCCCTCCCTCACCTCTTCTGCTCGCTTGCGAGGCCGAGGGGTCACC